GATCACAATTATTCTTGGTCATTCTAGGTCAAATAAATAAGTAAAGTGTATTTTCTTTTACAAATTTCTTAGAGTAAATAATCTATTACTTTTTATAACATTTTTTTATAATAATTAAATAATCAAAACGTTTGTTTGTATAACAATTTACAGTTGGTATACATGTCAAAACAAGATGTCAATTTTTAAATAGTTGTCAATCTAATAATTACAAAACAATACAATACTTTAAGATGGTACACTTGCCACAAGTACTTATAAAACTTATCGAAGTCACGTTTCTTCACATGTTACTTGCCAAGTTCAGAGTTTTACAAATAGAATACTATTTATAAATTTATTTCCATACGTATATTTAAGAAAATTTAAAATTGCAAATTATTTTTAGCTAGGATATATTTAAGAAGTATAAAGTTGAGTATTCATTAATGCACTGTAGTGTATATTTATGGCATTGGCATATTTCCCGAAAAACGTGTGTGACATTACCCTAATAAAAAAGGATACTTTTACTGAATTTTCCAATATTTTTGTAATGTATTTGTAGAAATTATTTTATCAATTCTTTCAAATAAAATTTACTTAAAAGAAGGAAAAATATAAGAAAAATTGTTTGTACTTCATTAATTAAATAACAAGTAAATTTATTGAGAACTTTATAAAAATTACACAAGTACAAATTGTTAACATTGATTAAAATGAGGGAAATTACAATTATTCAATTTTATCTAGTTTTATGGTTATGACCTAGATTAGGTGCATTTTCATTTTATCGCAGAGAAAAAAACAATTTGCACGCACACTCACGCATTTGGGTCATCGCGAAAATAGCCGCCTTCGATTCATTTCGTCGTGACGTAATACGAATAGGTCGTGCGATTACGTAATTCGCCCCGAAGAGGAACGACAATGAATTGGTTTTCTTGTTGCGCGTTGTAGTTGTTGCTGTTGTTGAATTCGTTTTATCCGTTTGCCATTAAGAAGGCTGGAAACGTTCGAAGGTTTGCTTTTCTCTCAACCAGTTTTGGGTCAATGTCGTAACGCCTTTTTGGGACGACGTTTATGCAAATCTCTTCGAGACGCCTTCATCTTCAGCAATTCTGTCACGCTTTTCTCATTGATAATTTCGTTGTTGTTTGAACATCAAAATAAATATTTAAATCTCATGTACTTGAAATACTTGTTCAATTTGCTGTTGTTATCTGTTAACTCACTCTAATTATGATTATTAATTGCATAGACAATGCATTTGTTCTCATTAACATTATTTTAACGTGATTATGACCTAGTGACAGCTATCATCTTGAATCAAAACGTAGAGTTTTTAACATTATTTTGATTAGATTGTGACCTAGTCACAGCTGTCATTTTCAGAGTCATTGACCTTATTTTGATCAAATTATGACCAAGTGACAGCTGTGATCTTGAGTCAAAGCGTAAAGTCATTAATATTATTATGATCAAATTATGATCTAGTGACAGCTGTCACTTTGAGTCAAAGCGTAGAGTCTTTAACATTATTTTGATTAGATTGTGACCTAGTCACAGCTATCATTTTCAGAGTCATTAAACTTATTTTGATTTAAAGTATGACCAAGTGACAGCTGTCATCTTGAGTCAAGGCGAGGAGTCGTTAACATTATTTTGATAAGATTGTATTAATATAAATCAAAGAAATGACACATAGTGACAGCTGTCATCTTGTGTCAAAGTGGTGAAATATTCTAACAACTACAAACAAATATGTTGGGTCAAAGTTGAGAAACGCTGATCTAGAGTTAAAGAATATTTGTTTTTCGTTGAGAATGTTCATTTTTATTTGTGAATACATTATAAATAGAATCTTTAGTCACCATTGTTCTAATTGACGTATTTATATGGAATATTAATAAACGAGTTTGCAACATTGACACACTGACTAGTTTTAAATAATTCAATGTTAACTGGAAAAGTTTATTCATAATTGCATTTTTTTTCTCTATATTTCGTTTAAAATAAAGAAAAACAGTTTATTTCTTGATCTATTTTCTGCTTTTGATTTATTTAGGTATGAAAAATTTGATATACGGAATTCCTCAAGGTGCGCACCTTTGACCTTTTTCATTTAAAACAATGAAATTTTGTTATTTTTCTTACCAAATTAATACAAAATAAGTGTATTACTTACAGTTTGCAGGAGTTTAAGGATTCCAGGATACGTTTTCATGTATCCCGTATTTAAAATGATGGCCGATGTTGTTGTCGTTGTTGTTGTCCTGGTAACCGTTACTGTGTGAGACATCTTGTCGGAATATAGGGACCCCGTTTTCGTTCAAAAAATCTGAAACAAAAAAATTATATATTGAAACAAAAAACGTCAATCATTTATAAACTTTATGCAAAAACTGTTATATCACAAAATTCGTAATGGGACACCGCTATTAAAATATATAAATTTTTTTAGAATTTTTGAATTAAATGAAAATAATGCAAAAAAACAAACTGAAAATTGAAATCTTATTGTTGGAAAATGGTAAATACTATAAACCTAGAAGTGGGCTTACTGAAAAGAACATAGTTTTGTCATTAATTTGCAAATTTTATACTTCAATTATTAGGGATGATTACAGACTAATTAATAAAAACTTGAAGATAATAAAAGTAAATAGGGAAATAGTTATATTTCAGTAAATTATTAAGAATAGTTAACAGAAGTTATATCAAAAGAAGCGCAATAGATGACTTCTTCTGATGTAATCATATAATATGTAAAAAGTTACTAGTTAATATAAAAAATCTTATTTGATTTATTGTTTTCAAACAGTAAGTCTATAATTACACTTTGATGTTCTTTGGTACTAAGATCTTACTGTACATGTGATCACTACGGAGAAGTAGGAAACGGGTTCCGTGCGGAATCTCGTATAAAACTGAACGGGAATCAAAGTGTTTTTTTTCTTTAATTTCTTTTCTTAGTAAACTTCTTCGCATGTGCCGTTAGTGCACAATCGCATTTAATCGCTTGCAATATTCGCGAAGCTTGCATACACCTCTATACCTCCTCGAAGACATGACCATCAGACTATCCAATCTCGTATTCGTACTCTTCCTCTTCGGAAGTTGTCTCTCTTCTCCATCACATTCTCATTCGAACGGGACGGATTTCGACGAATACGATGGTTTCTACGAAGACGATAAATTGAAGCCCAAAAATGAGACGGAGGAAGAGGCTGTAGATGTGTACGATCAGAGCCAGAAGGGCGGTACGAATGTTCGTGTGCATATGAATAAAGTAATGTTCATTCATACACCGTCAGCGCTTTTGGCTGCGATTTTGGCTTCTACAATCAAAGACGATGGTTTTCTTCTTCAGAAACCGGGAGACTTCGATGAGGATTTCAACTTCAATTTAACACAATTATCGAACTCTCAACCACCAAAACCGGAGGCACAAATCTTTGTGTAAGTACATTTTTATTACATTAATTTTAATAATAATGAAGATCATATTATTTCAACTAAAACTGTATATTTAAAAATAAATCATCAAAACAGGACCTAGTATAGATACTTGAGGAACTTTATTTTTTAATTATTATTGAAATTTTGTTATTTTTATATTAAAATATGCTAAAATTTTCAGAATAGATAAAAAAAACCTGAACCATTTTCTTTATGTAATTTTAACGTCATTTCCTCTATGTAATCAATGTTAATTTAACCGCAAATTATTTCTTAATCAAAACGTACTGATTTTGGGTTCATTTGAGCATTGGTTAAGCGTTTGAAATCCAATAATTTCTATGCAAAAAATGATTTTTATTTTGGAACATTTCGGTTTTCTATAATCTAATTTGTCAAATTGCTCAATTTTATTATTGTCTAATTTGACAAATTTAAAATGCTGTAAACATAATAAATTTCATTTCAATTAGATTGAAATTATTTAATTAACTAATTTAGTAACAAAGTGTAATTAATTATAAAAAACCGTTGATTATTTTCTTTGCATGTTTACCAAACTCCAACGCAAATTCCCCTAGGACAGTGACAGAAAATCCCTAAATCCCAAACCTAATGTCTCTAAATGCATCGAAAGTAGACCAAAATGGGATCGTACAAATTGATTACACAATTAATTATTAAGTTAATCACTTGATTAATAATTAACGTTTTTTTTACACAAAAAAAACTCAATCACACTTTTTTTTTATCTTAATTACCATTTTTCTGTTACAGATCAACGATTCTCAACTCGACATCAACGAACGCAACAAATCCGAACTAAAAACAAAGCACATTTTCTATTTATTTTCATTAAACTTTTTGTTATTATCTTTTATTTGAAGTGCGTTACACATTAATACTTAATTATAAATAAAGGCTCGAAGGATACTCCAATGACAAGTTTTATTTTCTTTTTTTTTTGCATATGAGACATTCCGCCTTGGTTGCATCATCGAAGAAAATAATGCAAATTAACATTTAAATAGTAAACACACTGAACAAGTTTGATGCTTTATGCAACGAGTTCTGTTTCAATTAAGAAACGTTTCTTAATCTTTAAATATTTAGTGTATTTCTAGGACCTTGGGGATCAAACAAAATGTAGGAAGTTTGTGTCATATCCGGCGACAAAAACTCAAATTAGAAGTTAACGGATTTCAATTATCAGCGCTTATTTTCTGTGTTGAATCTATGCAAAGATGAGAATTAATACAGTAATGCTTCACATAGTGCGGGTAATCGATTCTGCCAATACAATTTATTTTTATTTTGTTCAATTAAAATTTAGTTTCTTTTGGAATTTTCAAACCGTACTATAGTGAATCCGGATTGATTGAAGCAGATGTATACGAGGCATTAGTTTTTTTTATTTATTATTATTGAGAATAAATGAAAGATTTGAGAATGGAAGTAAATGAAAGTGAATTAATTTGTGTGTTATCAAATAACGTTTTGTTTTTTTTTAAATCTTGTTGTAAGTTCTATAAATGAGTAATCACCTTGATATAAACCGCTTTAATTGATATGCTACTACAATACTACGTCTTATAAGTTATGTTCTTATGCTGGTTCTATCATCATCATCCTGGATTACTCATGCTTCATACTTGAAATATGAATGAAATATTCATAGCGTTTTTAGAGCATGCTAATTTCTATGTAGATTTAGATTAAGATACATAAATAAATCCTTATGAAATTGTCTGTATGGATTGAAATATAACATTATTTGAAATTTTTGTGAAACTCGTTTTACGACACTTCTAGGTCGTAAAATGAAACTTTTGTTTAATTTTAAACTTTTAATCAATTATATTAATTTATGCATGCATGCTAATTTCTATGTAGATTTAGATTAAGATACATAAATAAATCCTTTTGAAATTATCTGTATAGAATGAAATATAACACTATTATTCGCAATTTTAGTGAAACTCGTTTTACGACACTTCTAGGTCGTAAAATGAAACTTTTGGTATTACTCCCACAATACAAGACAAAAAGAAAAACAGAAGGTACAAAATGACATTTTAATTTTAAGAATATTTATTCTATTTGTATCAAATTTGATAATATTAATTAAAAAAGCTAAATTTATAAAAAAAAAACCTCATGAAAAAATCTGCTAGAAGAAAACTAGTGATATAAGTAAGACTTGTTTTACGATAAGTCTAGATCGTAAAATGAAACTTTTGGTTAACAGATTTCAACGAAATTTGATATTAATTTACAATCAAAATTTGAAAGCAGCAATAAAAAATTGATAAAGAAATGACATTCTTAAAACTAGTAATTTAAATTATCTATATAACATAAGTAAGATCTGTTTTACGATAGGTCGTAAAATGAAATTTTGATGTTGTAATTTGTCCCATGACGTACACATACGTCGATTTTTATTTTATTGAAATTAGAGCAATTATAGTAATTAACAATTAAATTTGATTACACGAATAAAAAAATATTGATGAAAATTGGTTTTGGGAAAATTAACAAAATATTAATAAATTAAAACATAAAAACAAGAAATTTTGTTCCCTAATTAAGAATTTGAATGTAATTTTTAAAGAAAAATACAAAAAATCTTGTCATTATAACAAATTTCAATGAAAACTGACAATCTTTCTAATTAAAAATTGTATCAAATATAGATGAAAATTTAAAGTAATCACTTTGGTTTTAAGAACATTGATAAATTTGTTACATATTTCGATGAAAACTGAATTAATTAACTTTAGTTATGTAATTGAAAATTTAATTGTAACTTTTAAACTAAGATCCAAGATTGCAATAAAAACAAATGGAAATTAAGAACAAGCTAATCATCAGACTACACCCTACGCAGTGACGTCACCACCCAAACATTGTGTGGTCATCGACTTCCAGAATTCAGTGCAAAAGACGCCAGAAGAAAACATAAAAAACAGAACAACTTTCAAGGAAATCAATACGTAATCTCCAAGTGTATAGACGGAGATGACTCACAAGGCGTGAATGAAGTCAACATTATTTACGTTAAATCAATCTATTTTCGTATCAATCCGATTATACACAAACCAAAACACACGCGTTTCACATTTACAACTTTCAAATTGAATAAAAATCAAAGTAAAACCAAAAAAAAAACTTTATAAGTTTTAAGGAGAAAAAAAAAACGGATTTGGAAAACATGCTGGTTTTAAATTTAAATCTAGTTGCCATGGAAAATAAAGGTTTTTAGTCTTCAATCGTTTTAATGAGCACCAATTTATATTATATTTAGTTATCAGATTTTCTTTATTATCCTATAGACTTACAAATCGGTTTTCTAAATTATTGTTGTCACTTTTTCTTGTTTGTTTTGGTGTTGTTTGTGTGCACTTTTTCACTTGCGATTGCGAACTAAATTAGAAGCTTCTCTGTTCGCGACTTGCGTTCTCGACGACTGCGCCCACGTATTTCGTAATAACGCACGGATGGTGGGAGTTTATCATAAAGAGTGCTTCGAAAGAGGTGAAACACATACTCACTCTTCTTATCGAATTCACTTCATTTAAGCACATACAGTTATCGTTGGTATTCCGTTTGAAGAGGTGTTATGTAACAGTGGATGTCTTCATTTAGGACAATTAGAAATGATTAATGGTTATGGATGTAAAAATTGCATTTAATTACTCTCATTTTATTGTTCAAGTATAATTGGAAGTTTATCAGTACAGTGGAACTTCGCTTAACGAACATTTTGCTTATGCGAAAACTGACTCGTTTAACGACGATGTTTCGCATAACGAGTGACGATGAGAAGAGAAGTCCCAGATTGCGCGCCTTCTACATCATTTTTAAAACTTATATACACATATTATGTGCATTTTTGAATATGTTTCAGTATAGGAGTAAAAATCCGGAAATTTTGGAACGGATTAAACTCGTTAAGCGAGGTTTCACTGTATATAAGTAAAAAATGTTCTTCAAGTTTTATAATCTTTATGAACTATTCTGACTTAATCTAACTTCAAAACTTATTTATTTTAACTTCTACTAAGTAGAAGTTAGGTGGATATATCCTAACTTCATTTTTACTAACACTTTAAGTTAGTAAGTATATTAATAAGTTAGGTAATTTAGTTTAGGTAAATCTAACTTTATTGCAATTTAAATAGTATTAAATCACTAAGAAATGTTAAAGAAATTCTTTAGAAATCTTAAAGAAATCACTTAGAAATGTCATAGAAATCTTTGAGATTGATTAGGTTAGATTTACCTAACCTAACTTATTAATATGTTGAAGCTATTGAAGTTTAATATTGTTTCTTTATGATCTAATCTAACTTCTACAGACGTAAGCTTATTTATTAGTAAGTAGAAGTTAGGTGAATCTAACTTAACCTAATATTTATTACCAATTTACATAACCTTACTTAAATGGTGGTAAGAAAATGGTGTACTCTCAATTGATTATCAATCATATTTAAAATATTTGAATTTGCATATAAATTGAAGCTAAAATTCTATATATTTATGATTTAATCTAACCTAACTAATGACTTAACATTAATGATTATGAAAAACCTAACCTTACTTCAATCTAGCCTCTTTTACGCTGATCTAACCTAACGTAACTTATATTAACCTAAACTTACTTATTCTAACATATCCTAAGTTCATTTTGATTTCATTATGGAAATACTCTCATTGGATTACCGAGCGTAATATAAAATATTTACAGTTTGAACAATAAATTGTAAATTTACTATCTTCTGTTAACTTAATCTTTTCAACCTAACTGATTTAATCTAACCTAACTAATGACTTAACATTAATGATTATGAAAAACATAACCTATTACTTATTGACCTAATTTTACTTCAATCTAACCTTTTTTACTGATCTAACCTAGCCTAACGTAACTTATATTAACCTAAACTTACTTATTTTCCCCTAATATATCCTAACTTCATTTTGATTTCATTATGGAAATACTCTCATTGGATTATCGAGCATAATATAAAATATTTACAGTTTGAACAATAAATTGTAAATTTACTATCTTCTGTTAACCTAATCAATATTTCTATGGGATTTCAAATTGATTTACTACAATTTAAATTTCAATAAATTTGTATGAAATACAATTTTCACTTCTTTTTTCATGATTATTTACAATTAATTTTATAACTTTCTTTACAATAATAATTTACTTTCATTTTCACTTATTATTGAACACTTATTACATAAATTAATAATTTTAACATTAATTTTAGTTTTAACTATTTTTTATTGTGACATTTGATTTCTATTGTGGTTCAGTTTGCAGGAAATTCTATGTGCACTAAGAAAACGTTATTTTAACACAGATTTTTCTCTTCATATATTTATGTTAGATCATCCTTCACCAAACTTATATTTATACACCGCTTATTATTGTAGTACTGTTTACTTTTCCTCTTGAATTTATGCTTTGCTTATGAAAACAATTATTTTATTACAAAATTGCCACTTCAGTTTTCAAACAACTTTTCATCTTTTATAGTTTATACATTTTCATTATATTTCTTTTATATTTGTATTGTTTATGAACCCAATACAGTATCAAATGCAACAGCAAATCGTTGGTTCCATCATTTTCGTTCAGGTAATATGGACGTTGAAGATGAGACATTTCTGGTAATCCAATCGTCAAAAATGTTGATAAAATCATGGAAATCTTCGAGTTGGACTGGTACGTGAGCACTTATTACATTGTTCAGGAACTGAAGATTAGCCAGAAAACCGTTTGGAACCATTTGCATAAAGCTGGTCTCAAGAAGAAACTCAACGTATGGGACAAAACGCTCAGAACTGTTTACTTCAATGTAAAATATTTCACAATGATCAAAATACCAAGTGACAAACAATATACAATTAACAATATTAGAAAACATTCAATGATTCCAATGTTTTGAATCTATTTCTACTATTCTGATTTGTCAATACAATAATGTAGTATGAAAAAAAAATATATTGAATCTAAATTACTTTTTTTTTTAATATTTCCACAAATCAAATTAAAAATTGTTAAAGAAAAGAGATCAATTATTAAAAGCAAGGATAAATATTTAGATAATTAGATTTCCACTAAATATTTTCATTATTTTGATTTCATCAAAGTTTTTCCATCTGAATTTGTATTATGATTTAGTTTGTTTAATTATCAGTTAATTATATAATATATTATACTTTTTTTTATGTATATTTACCAATAAAGTAAATTAAATATAGTTTCATCTAGTATTAAAAAGAACGTACTTTAATATATTTAACATTTTTTCTACTAAAATTCGCAAATTAATATTCAGTGAAATCTGTGTTAAACAAAAACTGTATGTTTCTTGCTAATTACTAATTTTATGTTGAAATTACGTGTAAATATAAGATTTAGAAAATATTCAATTTTCTCTTCGTAAATTACGTAATTAACTTAAGAAATATGTTAAATTAATTTCTTTTAATTAGTATTAAATCATATTTTCTTTGACTTCACACAAATTAGAGTAATTAAGAAAAGATACACTTAAATTAAATAATATTTATTCATAAACTATATAACATTACATTTAATAAATGATTAGGTACATTAATTGAAAAGTTTCGTGTGTTTTTGTGTGTATGCGAATGCGTTTTTTTTGTGTGTGTTGTGTATTTCGTAGTGTAATTTAGTCCACATCGTTTGTAGCTCATTTACAGTAAGTAAGTTACAAAAAAAAAACTCTTAATTAGTGGTATGTGAGAGAAAACAAAACAAACGAAAAAAATAAAAAAAACAAAAATGACTGCATTGAATTACATAAACAAAAAAAGTATTGCCAAAACAAAAGAAAAAAAACTAAAGGCGTGACAGGATTCTTGACTTATCCTTAAGTATTATTACTTTTTATATCATTGTTTCTTTTATTCAATACCAACAAAATATAGAAAAAAACATCGTTTCGCAGATGTTTCTCCCATTTACGTCGTTGATTCAGTCAAATAAATATAATATATATATGTATGTAATATTAAACGAGAGAATTATTAATAATTATTACTTATAAAAACAAACAAAAAAAAAATTATAAAAACGTAAATGAAAAAAATTAAATTAAATTAAAAATTTGACAAAAAAAATAATAGAATAATTTATGAAATTTGTGTGTGTTTACACTTTAAACGTTTAAATTTAGAGTTGAATTTTTCTTCAGGTGGATTTTTTTTTAGTTCGCTACCCTCGTGCTCTTCCATTGCTTGTGGAGAAGGTATGTCTCGATTCCGTAGACTAAAGTGTTGAAGATTCCAAACACCTAAAACATAAAAAAAGTTATAAAATTATTACAATTAATTTAAATTTTTGTGTGTATTTAAAAAAAAATTGATTTTTTTATTGACAAAGTTAAAAAAAATTGTTTGTCTTGTATAAAGAATGATTAAGAACTTGAATTTATCAATTTCATATGTATTTTTTTATACTCTTTGGAATTGAACAAATTTGATTACAAGTTTTATATTATTTTTTTTAGAAGATTTTTTGCACATTTTTTTTATTATTTCTTAACACATTAACAAATTTTGAATTAATTATCATAAGTTGTTTGAATTGCTGCAAATAGTATTTGCAGTTGCATTGGAAATGTTTGACTATTCATTAGCCATTCCCATTTTACTTGTGTTTCTTTATTATGTAATGTGTGTTTATTCTTAAATTCTGCAAGTCGACCTTTACTTCATTCCATGTGTGACGCTTCTTCCTTAAAGCTTTCACATACCATTTTCCTACATAAATCATCGATAACACTTGTTGCCCTTTCCTTCAATAAAATCCCATGTATTTTTAAGCTAGTTCCAAAACACTGTAATTAATTGCATTTACTGCTGACCTTTGTATATATTTAACATTTTTTTTTTAGAATTAATCTTAGATAATTCTTATTAATGATCTAATGTAAGCAACAAATAAGTATGCATAATAGAATAACAGTTGAAAGCTAAGTTTCCAGTTTTAAATCAAATAAACTTATTTTTTCTTGATTTCATGTAGTTTTAATATAGGCAACCCAATTAACTTGCATCACTTTCAATTATTTACAAAAATTTCATAATAAATTACAAAGAAACCAAAGCTACTACAAATATAAATTTAGGCTCATTTGAAACAAGAATTATTCAAGATTATTACTTAGATTAAGGATAATCTTATAAATTCGTGGATTTGTTAATAAATGCATTTCCTTTTCGACTTGTCAAATGTATAATTAGCAAAGTTTCTTATTCTTATTCTAAATTACTAAGATGCAAAAGCAACTACAAAGATGAAATATACGCTTATTTGAAACAGTAAATATTCAAGATTACAATTCGCATTAAAGATTATACTAGACAGTATTGAGTTTTGTAATAAATGCAATTTTTATTTTCGATGTGTCAAAAATTAATGAGCAATGTTTCGCATTAAATTACAAAAAACCTAAAGCAGCCACAAAAACAAATTTATGCTCTTTTTAAACAATGAATATTCAATATTATTACTTAGATTAAGAATAATCTTAGAAATTTGTAGATTTGTTAATAATAGCATTTTTTTCGACTTGTGAAAAATATAATTACCAAAGTTTCTTATTGAATTATTTAGACTCAAAAATAGCTACAAACAAGAAAACACGCTTATTTGGAACAGTAAATATTCAAGATTACAATTCGCATTAAGGATTATAATAGAAAGTATTGAGTTCAGTAATAAATGCAATTTTTATTTTCAATTTTTCAAAAAATGAATGATCAATTTTTTTCATAGTAAATTACAAAATAAAATTAAAGCAGACACAACAATGCTCATTTGCACTAATCAATAATCGAAAATATTACTCACATTAAGGATAATCTTAAAAAGTTTTGGGTTTCTTTTTAATTTTTTTTCCAATTTGTCAAAATGAATATAAAAAAGTTTCATATTAAAGAAACCAATTAATCTAGAAACATCTAATTATATTCTGCATAATCCTTGAAGATTCAACATTTATTTTCATATAAAGTTTTGGATTGGAAAGTTTACGTTATGGTAATAGAAGCTAAAATCTAGACGGTTATTTCATTTTTTGACACTTCAATGTTTCAAATCGAATTTCATAGAAACTAATGCAATTTTAGATATCTATTTGGGCTCATTTTATACCTTAACGATCTAAGAATTCTTTACATTTTAAGATTTGTCTTGAAAACTGTAGATTTTCATAATATAAGCCGAAATGTAATAATATATTTTTTTGACGAGTCAGTGTTTGAAATTGAATTACAAAGAAACGAATGCAATTATAGATATGTAAATAGGCTCATTCTATTCTTTAATGATTTAAGATTTCTTTCTATTTTATAGTTTGGCTTAAAAGCTGCAGATTTTGGTAATAAAAGGCAAAATGTGAGAGGTTATTTTTTTGACATGTCAATTTTTAAAATTGAATTTGTGACTAAACTAATGCAGTAACGGAAATGTATTTTAGATCTTTTTATTCCTTGATGTTTCAAGATCAATAAAAATATTAAGTTATGCATTGGGAATTATATATTAATATAATATACGTGAAAATGTTGAACGTGTTACATAAGAAGTAAGTAACAATAAAAAAAAATGTTTCAAGTATGTGAAATTTAGTTGTACTTACACCAGCGATTATGTTAGCTGTCCTGTAATAGGTGGCAGGTGTTGACCAAACGACCAATTGGACGATGAAGGCGATTCCGTAGAGAACAGCGCAGATTCCGGTGTTTGCGAATTCCTGAAATATTACAAACAGTTAATTGATTTGATGATAATGAGTGTTATTTGTGGTGTTTACGGATAGGACCCAATCGATGGGCAAGGTGAGCGCTTCCCTGATTCCCAGGACACGCACGAACATCCAGATCAGACTTCCGATGAAGCTGATCGTGACGACGAACAAGAAGAAGTGGGTGCCGGATCTGAATGCGGGTGACGCCAGAGACATGCAGATTATGCCAATTATCTGAAAACGAAAAAAACAAATTGAGAAGAGAAAATTGAGAAATTAAAACGTAATTCTTGGAAGCACCACCAATTTGAAGTTAATTGGTGCAAATTTGAATACGTAGCGGCGCGTTCCACATTAATTAATCAAATTAGCAATGGAACGAAACGAAGAATAGACAAGAAAAAATGGTAATAAACGTATGACCTCAATACGCATTAATTGCTACGAATTTGGCGAATTTATTGCTACGTGCTGAAGGGGGTTTTTGGTGCGTTGCCTTATGCTTCCGGTTTCTTTTTTGTTTATGCAACAATGGAGCGCAGTTTCCGGGTCCGACGCGTAACGGAAAGTGCAGACCGCACCTGCAATTCCGAGTCTCCGGGGTCAACAGACTTGATTGCCTCTTTCTGGCCTCACTTTTACACAGAGATCATGTGCAACGAACAACAGTTGTTCTTTTTATTATTACGTGTTATTTTTCTTTCAAACTTTTAAATAATTATTTTGTTTTCGTTCTTCAAATTTTCAAACGAATTATCTATAATTCATTCACAGATTATCCATCCAAATGCACACTTACATACTAATTAGTATGTAAACCAAATAACTAGGCCAAATTGAAGAATATAATTATTTTTTGAACTTATTTTTTTTTTCGAAATTTTTATTTTTTTATATATTTACTTAAAATATTATAAAATCTAGTGTTTTTTTTCCATAATTAGTTATATAATGTAATTTATAAAAATTATATACATATGTTATTTAAGTTGGTACTTTTGATACTAAGTTTTTTGAAGTTGTCAAAAGTATTCACATGACAACGTAACAATTGACAAGTATACATTTAACTACATAATAAACTCTTAATTAAGTAACAAAATCAAATTGAATATAAACATTTAGTTGATATATACGAGTAAATGAAATTTGCATGTGGTCGAAATAGTTCTAGAAAATTGAAACATTTCGCCCACTGGATGAGTCAAGACTCATTCATAACAACTGATGTAATCGAGCATGAATCTATCTGGATATGACCAAATTTATTTTTTATTGCGTAGGTTAGGTCATGCTGTGTCTACCTTTAAATGTGGCGTACCAACTGTTAATTTTAATTACACAAGATGGGGACAATTTCTGACTTATAGTGTGGATGCACCTTTACATCTGTCAATGACCGATGATGAGCGGTGACCTTAATTACAACATCTAACTTAAGTGACTCAATTGTTACATAACCTTAATATACTTATTACCTTTAATAAGACATATTTAAGTAGACTTATTTCAAATTGAGTTTCACTTGTACTTTCCTCATTTTTTTTTACACATAAAAGTTATTAAATAATTGTCTTCTATTGTTTTTTCGTGAATAATTATTATAGTCGTTGTTATTAATCTTAATATAACGAAATTTGAGTATTTTCATTGATCCTTATGGTAAATTAGGTTAGTTTCAACTAGTATCCATGACAACAACAATTTGTTAATATAATAAACAAAATTCGATTATTTATTGTTGTTATTGACATTTTTTGTTTCTAAATTGTTTCAAATTTACTCAAGTAAATCCAGACTGTTCTAAATAAACTTCATCAAAATTATCTTAAAATTCCAGTGTTAGTAACCAAAATTGAAAATAGATAATTTGAACTATTTTTCTTTTCACTTTTGTTTGACGTGTATTTCTCGTTCATTTGTGTTAATTTCTTATGAAAACTTATACTAAATTCAACATTAATTATTATATAAGTTCTGACTGATCTTAATGTGACAAGATTTTAGTATACTCATTGATCTTTATAGTAATTTAGGTTAATTTCATCTAGTATCCATAACAACAAGTTGTTAATATTTTAAACAAAATTCTATTATTTATTGTTATTAACAATAATTATTGTTTCTAAATTATTCCAAATTTACTCAGATAAATCCTGACTGTTCCAAATAAACTTCATCTAAATTATCTTAAAATTCTTCTTAAAATTTCCACTATTTTTTTTCCCACTTTTGTTTCACATTTATTTCTCGTTCAATTGTCTTAATTTCTTATGAAAACTTATACTAAATTGAACTTTCATTATTATATTAGTTCTGACTGATCTTAATGTGACAAGATTTTAGTATTCTCATTGATCCTTATGGTAATTTAGGTTAGTTTCAACTGGTATCCATGACAACAATAAATTGTTAGTATAATAAAAAAAAGTTCACCTAAAATACACTACAATTTCAGGTTTCGTAATTTGAATACATTTTCTTTAGTTTTTCTTTGACTTTTCTTTATTGTTCATTAGTATAAATTTATTATGAAAACGTATACCAAATTCAACTTTCATTAATACATAAGTTCTGACTGATCTTAATGTGACGAGATTTGGGTATTCCCATTAATCCTTATGGTAACTTAGGTTTGTTTCAATTGGTATCCATGACAACAACAATTTAATAAACAAATTCCATTATTCATTATTGTCAATGGCAATTAACGTTTCTAAATTGTTTCAAATTTACTTAAGTAAGTCCAAATAATTTCAGCTTTAATAACCAAAATTTTAAATATATTTTTATAATATTTTAATTGCTTCTTTTGTTAAATTTAATTTACAAATTTTTTTTTGAACCAAAATCAACCTTTATCTAAATTTAATTTAATGTTTTGTGAAAAAAAAAATGTGATTTTAACCTAAATAACAAAAATAGTTTCAAAGTAATTTTCTTGATTTTTTTTTGTATAAAAAGAAAGCAATAAACTGAAGTGATAGTAAAACGTACAAAGTACGCGTCTTTTCGTGGATGTGACCCAGTGCAATTTCGAAGAAGCCGTGTACCATCCTCTCTCGCTTGATGCGTGCAGTATTTTTAACCCGTCTGTACTGGACTCCGTCCAACAAATTTAATAATACTTCTTATAAAACCCGAAACCGAAAAGACTCTATGCTTTTGTATTCCGTGTCATTATTTATATTCAGAGGATGCGAAAAATAGAAATCCTCGAAAAACGCATTTTCCAATTTCATTTTGTTTATACAATTTTATTAAATTAAAATTATCTTATAATACTGGCGTCTTTGTTTTCAACACTTCCTTCCTACCACACTTATTTTTATTATCAGCTCTGTTTTACTTTCCGTTTTGTTGCGATAAAAAAGTTACATAAAAAAACGTTTGTTCCAACTAAAAATAATAATTGCTTTTAATGTGAATCATTCTTTGAAAATAAAACAAATCCGTTTATAGTTGCACTAAATTTATTGTTATGTTAGTAGTTTCTTATTATAACTCTGATATAACGAAAATCTACAAAGCTATAACAAAATTAACAAAAAAAAAAACTTTACTTCTACCGTTTCTGAATATAAATATGAGTTAACAATTCTTCTGTATTAAAATAAAATAAAAAATGTAATTAAATTCAGAAATTAATATTCACAATGTACAGAAATATTGTCACGTTTGTCGCAGTAATTTCATTGTTATTTATTTCTTTATATATATTTTTTTTTCTTTATATTGTTGTACAGTTAGGTTGGTTACCTTTACAGCTGTTCGCCATAATTTCACGCAGCAAACTTCGGTATTTTCGTATGTAAACGGAATTGGGTCTCCTCGTATGGAAAAGTCCCGTTGCACGCTAATTGGTAACAAGAATCCGAAGGCGAGAGGGAAATAATCGGAGGATAAAGTGAAGTGTGAACGATCACATTTGTGTTTCGTTTAACGTCGTTACGCTAAAAAGAATCACAAGACATCTAAGAAACAAAATTTAAATGTCAATTTTTACATAAATTTAGTTTTTTTTTTAAACATTTGTACCAACTTAATTAAAGTCACTCTTTTTATTAGTTCCTCCTCTAAAATGTATACAAAAACTATAAATACTAATTGATAATTAAGAAATACATAATTTGTAATAATTTATTTTTTTTTAAATTCAGTTTTTATTTTTTTTTAAATTGTACCAACTTCAGTAAAGTCACTATTTTTAGTTACTTCTATAAAAACAAATACTGTAAATAATATTTAATAAATAAAAAAAACTCATAATTTATAATGAGTTTTATTGGTTTATATAGAATTAATGTGCGTACACACTTCAAAAAAATATGTCACTATATTTAGTTCTTTGTGGTTATTTGTATAAATTATGAGAATTTAACTTTTCATTGATTTTTATAGAATTAAGGGTATATACATAGTTCAAAAAACTTTTGCTATTTGTTAATTTATATACATTTTTTTAGATTCAATTTTCCTTTTTTTAAACAATTGTACAAACTTAAGTAATGTCACTATTTTTAGGTCCTTTTATAAATTTTGGACAAATAATAATTGATAATAAAGAAATACATAATTATTGATTTGTATAGAATTAAGGTGCGTACACACTACAAAAAACTTTTTGGTATTTGTTAACTTGTTTAAATAAGTACAGTAACTTAAGAAAACTACACTTTAAATGATATTTACATCATATATATAGTTTGTTGTCATGGAAATTGATGCTGATATTAAGACAATGTAATTATTTTAATTATGACAATTCTACCAACTTCAAAAATATATGTCACCATATTTAGTTATTTGTGGTTATTTGTATAAATTATTAAAATTTAACTTTTCAATTAATTTCATTGATTTTTATAGAATTAAGGGTATATACATAGTTCAAAAAAAACTTTTGCTATTTGTAAATTTATATACATTTTTTAGATTAAAATTTTTCTTTTTTTTAAACAATTGTACAAACTTAAGTAATGTCACTATTTTTATGTCCTTTTATAAATTTTAAACAAATAATAATTTATAATTAAGAAATACATAATTTGTAATTAATTTTATTGATTTGTATAGAATTAATGTGAGTACACACTTCAAAAAACTTTTTGATATTTTTTAACTTGTATAAATAAGTACAGTAACTTAAGAAAACAAGACTTTGAATGATGTAATTAATATAAGTAGTTGGTAATCATGGAAATTCATGATAATATTAAGACAATGAAATTGTT